CATATAGGACAAGCATGTTCGGTGACGGAGGATTCGAACTCGCGACCCACACATTGCGAGTCGAGCGCCCTAACCACCGCCATGCCAGGCTCTTACTTTCAGCTGATAATGTTGTGTTTAATTAATGGGTTGTTTAATACATTTATTGTATTCAAGGAAAAATTATGTTATGTAGGAAAGATGAAATGGAGAACATGCCTCTCCAGCAATCGCTAGAAATATGCATGTATATGTGCGTGCATATATATATAGTTTTTCTTCACTACCAATTCAAGCCGTCTCCAACCATTATAAGGTAATTGTTTGCTTGTATGTATATTTTTTAGCACTTGAGTCCAATATGGATGATAACTATTTTCTTCTAATAAAAATCACTTTTAAAATTAATTTAATTTCTACATTAAACTTATAAGTCAAACTGATCGCATTACAGTGTTAATGGATTCATTTTTAACCTTTTATATTAGTGTGGTGACAGACAAATCATGACATTTTCTGGGATATTGCCCTCTTTTATTCGGAAATAAACGTGTTTTTGTGGAGATATTAATCGTATATGAAGAGGGGTAAAACCTGTTCAAGGTTAGAGCAACCGATGTTGCTACGGCTACCACTGAATCTTTCAAACAATGCCTAATGATTCTAGATCGAGTCTGTAAAAATAGAATGAAGCAAAAAATCTCTGGTATTTTTGCTCCTGGCTAATATGACTTACGTCATCGGTATTGTATGTAAAGAACTGATAATGTGTATGTTAGCGTGCTGAGACTAGGCACACGACTATACGGGTCTTAGGCAAAGTTTTGTATTGGATGCCCAGCAGTAACACTTTAACAACAATCACAGTTTCCAATGATTTCCATTTTCTGTAACAATTAAAATTATTGATTTCAAAACACCAGACAACATTGTAATTTGTTTCGTTATTATATCTGTCTAGACTTCCTTTGCCTTTAATAAATACTTTTTGTATCTTAATTTTGTACCGTTAATTGGTTTCTTTCCCCCTCCGCAAATGTCCCCTGATGGGTTGTTGGTTTGAATTCCGCGCAAAGCTACACGAGGGCTATCTGCGCTAGCCATCCCTAATTTAGCAGTGTAAGACTAGAGGGAAGAAAGCTAGTCATCACCACCCACCGCCAACTCTTGGGCTACTCTTTTACCAACGAATAGTGGGATTGACCGTACCATTATAACGCCCCAACGGCTGAAAGGGCGAGCATATTTGATGTGACGTATATTCGAACCCGCAGATTGCGAGTCGAGCGCCCTAACCACATGGCCATACCGAGCCCTCATAATGGGACAGCGGTAAGTCTACGGACTTACAACGCTAAAATCCGGGGTTCAATTCCCCGCGGTGGACACAATGTCGCTTTGCTCCAAAATAAAGAAACAAATATATCCGCATATAGCATTTCCAACGTAGATTTCTTACGATCTAATGTGAAAATACCAATTAAGACGTGAAATGTATCAATATTTGGATAGAAGTTTCACTGGAACAAAGTGGTATCAACTGTCAGCGGACGTACAAGGGTGTACATAAATACTATAAATATATATTAATCAAACTTACACGATATTGAGCAGAAACGAAGAACTCGTGATTTAATGTCTTTAACAAACGCACGTATCGCTGAGCTAATGAGCACAGATTATTTGTCAAAGAAAATATGTGTTGTTTAAACATCAGAATCCCTTCAACCTACTTTTTAATAGTTTCAAAAGCATTATAGGCTTTGTTGATAATTTACTTCTCGGCATGTCCGAATTTTCTTGTAATTATGAATTTAAAGTTTTTGAAGCCATGCGTACCCCAGCGGTAAGATACAACACTAAAAATCCAGAGTTCGATTTCCTGTGGTGGACAGAACGTAGATGCGCTAAAACAAATAAACGATGCCAGTTTTACTTCAAATTATAAATTCAATGAACTCTGCTTCAGCAGCCGCTAGAGGGACTTTAGTACGTCTAAGGCAACCAGAATTTTAGTTTTTACTCCTTTACCAAAATTCAGCTCAAGTAAGTTACGTTGCACCCGGATGAAAATGGTTCTGCTATTATCAAAATTCTTCAAAGATCAATGAAGTCTACAGACTAAAGTTTTGGAAGGATTGGACCAAGTGGTTGAGAAGACAGGAGAGGCAACCCCGCTTCCTGGGGGAATTGGGTTCTTGCCTTATAAATGATATAATTTAGGTGTACTAACTTAATTACTGGATTGAACGTGAACCACGAACAACTCCACAAACATTAACCACGAGCGTATCGAGTAAAATCATTCAACGTGAAAAGCTGAAATACAGGGAGAATTTGACATAAATTTTAAACAAAGAAACATAATTTCCAGAACGGAGATCGCTCGAAGGCTCGTCCAGTTTGGAATGTGGTGTTAATGGAAATTATTTTCAGATGTTAGTTAAACGACTAAACATTATAGTGAATTTGATTTATGAGAGATGACTAGCCTCCAAACACCTTCTACATACGCCCTTTATTAAATGACTCGATCACTTTATTAGTTCCAAACGTAAATTAAACCATGGAATACCAAAAACAGAAGTTATCTGTTCGATATTTTAATAGATTTTTTTCTTTTATGTGAATGAACAAATTACCTTATCGGAAATGTAGCAAATTTCTTCCTTCATTCATTATTTGTTTGTTTGTTTGTAATTAAGCACAAAGCTATACAATGGGCTATCTGGGCTCTGCCCACCACGGGTATTGAAACTCGGATTCTAGCGTTGTAAGTCCGCAGACATACCGCTGTGCCATTGAAGGGGGTGGGCTATTTATTCATTTATTTTTGCGTTGTAACAATATATACTTCGATTATCTTTAGATAATACAGCATTTTCATCTCTCAGGTTCGAATCCAGGACCTCCCGAACGGGGCCAGGAAAAAAAATCACGCTCCGCACTAGTCGATTATATTAGCCCAAAAGTTAGCGGTGGTGTTGACTATCTGTCTCTAGCCTGTCACTTCAAAATTAGGGATATCCCTTGTGAAGCATTGCATACAACAACAGCCTCTCGAATGCAAAAGAAAGCGTTGTACCATCTGAGATAAAGTGTTAACTACCAGGTTAGTCCTATAAGCAAGCGTTGTACCATCCAAGATAAAGGGTTAATTACCAGGTTAATCCTATAAGCAAGCGTTGTACCATCTGAGATAAAGGGTTAATTACCAGGTTAGTCCTATAAGCAAGCGTTGTACCATCAGAGATAAAGGGTTAATTACCAGGTTAATCCTATAAGCAAGCGTTGTACCATCTGAGATAAAGGGTTAATTAACAGGTTAATCCTATAAGCAAGCGTTGTACCATCCGAGATAAAGGGTTAATTACCAGGTTAGTCCTATAAGCAAGCGTTGTACCATCAGAGATAAAGGGTTAATTACCAGGTTAATCCTATAAGCAAGCGTTGTACCATCTGAGATAAAGGGTTAATTACCAGGTTAATCCTATAGAAAAGCACATTTTAACAACCGAGCCCAAACCAACTGGCCACTGTTTTTGCACATGTTATTACGTATATATTAAACCCATCTTGATATATAAATTATTTGTCTTTTAACGTTAAGAAATAGAATCAACTTTAATTTACTTTACCATGTACTTGTAATAACTTATAAAGTTATTAAGTAAAAATAAAGCAAAAACAACAACAAGGGCGTGGCAACATAAAGTACCTTATGTTCTTCCAATCTTCGTATCCTCCAGTGTCACGTGGCATGGGTTACATAGGAATTAAACTTTTAAATTTGCCAATGAAATCAAGCAGTGTATAAGTTGTGAGAGTTCAGGCTTTTGGGGGTATTTTTCATACTTCACAGTTTTATTTTTAAATTGAAGAAAATTAAATGGAATATGTAAAGATAGATCAGATATTCAATAGTTTTGAATTGAAGTTGAAGTTGAAAATAATCTAGATATATATATCATATATCTTCGATAAAAATAATAGGGCGTGTAAATTCCCTTAGACTTATCGGATCCCAGAGGAACGTTGTCCTACATATAAGAACAACCCTGTAACTACGTTGTTAAAGTTTGTAACATTTACTTCTGATTAGGTAAGCATGTGCACTATTACTCCAAACCTTAATACTTTACCAAACTAGTCTATTTTACACCGGTTCTTTCTATTGGTGCCAAGTTTAAATATTTAAATAGATCCGTATCCAGTTTTATACAAAGTGATAAAGATAAAAAGTGATAATTCGTTGTTGTTTTTTTTACCGGTAACAAATAAATAAATGTCGAACGAGAATAAACTAGTTTTCAGAATAAAGAAGTAAACTTACCAGTCCATCGCATGCTGACATGGCTACCTGGGAGTCACTGACGTTTCGTATAGTACCTTGAAACCAGCACATGGAACCTGGGCCTAACTTCATATGTGTGTTTTTAGTATTATTTAAATTTGATGACCGCCGTTCGATAATCATACCTGGAGCAAACAACTTATAGTTAGGCTGTAGTTCCAAATATAGGTCATTCTGAGCCAGATTTATACGATAGTGCACAATATCGTTGCTGGGTGACCGTTTTCTTCTGCGAAGATTATTCCATAAGTAGTGATGAGGCAAATGGTGACTTAAAAAATTTCCGTCAGATGTCACCTTTTGTGGGATTACCAATTCGTAGTTCTTCATAGAATTAAAAAATTCAGCTAAAATAAAACGAAAAATACAAATGGATAAGATTAAAATACTTAAACAACTCTGAGCGCAAAGTTCAGTTTAACTGTTCTCCAAAACCTTTGATCATCAGTGATTATTTCTACAGCAGGATCTAGTAAGTACCAAACCAAGCATCTGTAGCTTAAAACTAAAGAAATAAAATAAAACCGAAAGGTAGAAAAAAAAAGAAATTGTAGATACCTCAAATAACATAAGTTACTAAAATAACTTTAATTGTTTATTGTGGCTTTCGTCACACACACAAAACAAATCTTAAATATAATTTTGTAATTTTTATCAACGTGAGTGCTTCCCTACGCATTCTAATTACACAAAAATTATATATAGGAATCTATCAAAGTTGTAGTTGAGTCTATAAGGTACACAACTCGCATGTTTTTAATTAAAACGAATGTCTACAAAGCTATCTATAAAACTGAAGGCTAAGTTATGGCGCAATTATACAGTAATAAAATGTAAATGTTACGTTATTTCTTGACGAAATACCAAAGAACCTGAACATATTCTCATATATCAAAAGTAGATTTGAATCAAAACGAGAAAAATAAAATAACATTTTAAAGACAATACACAATTTTAACAGAAAAACAAATCCCTTTTTGGTATAGCTTTTCTCTTCAAATTCAAAACAAGTAGGAAAGTGGCAAGTTTGTGTATTTATTTCGCGTATACTTCAAAAAACAATTAGTGTTTTAGGAAAGTTTTGATCCAATGAATCCAAAGTCAATACTGGAATTTCATTATATCCTCGGTTAAAATCTAACGCGATGAATAAGTTTGGAAGTCTTCTTGTAAAAAACGTGATAGTTTAAAATTAAAGATTTAGATGAACGAAAAAAAAGGCATAATAATACTCTAAAACTTTTTGAGAATCAAAGTTCAGTCTTGTTTTGTTTTTTATTATTAAGAGGTTATAAGGTGGTTATTTTTAATTATTCTGTTTATATTTAGGAACGTATTCCTCTGTCGTTTAGTTAAGCTTTCTCTTGGATTTATTTATGCATAATACTGGCTCACACCGCGTCAGAGTAATAATATTTTCACAGCAAGACAAAATTACTGACACTGGGTGGCGCTGAAGTTTTGTCACTATAACTATAGTTCATGGTCGTATGTAGATTAGTGTGTCTCTGTACGTAAAGAAGTTGATCAGGTGTTTTGTAAATAATTAAAAATTGTCCTCCGTTAAATCGCAACCTTTTCATATGGTAGCAAATGAAAGTATACAAAAAAAAAAAAACGTAGACAAAGGAACGAGTGAAGATGTGTTAAAGATCAGCTCTTATAGATTAAGCTTGACTACTTTTTTCTCTTAATAGGCCCCTATTGTTCTCACATTGTTAGGATTAATTTTGTGTAAATTCTAATTTATTAACAGGATATTCTGCTTCACGCGGGAATCTTTTGCTGCTCCGAATAGCCCTAGGGTTTGCTTATATTTAACTACTATTGTGCTTATGCTAGCATACTTTGTCAGGTTACCTTGCAGTACTGTCTAGACTGTCATGTTCAGGAATGAGTCTTCCAGGCCCGTCTCATTAGTTTCTGCTGGGGTTATGGAAGTATCCATGGGTAAGGATGATTGTCAAGCCCGTCCACCTAACACGACATTCACTTCAAGTCTGGTTCAACTAATTTTTCTTAGTTGTATAGACAGTCAGGTTGTGGAAGTATCCATGGATAAGGATGATTGTTAGGCCGTCCACCTAACACGACATTCACTTCAAATACTTCAAGTCTGGTTCAACTAATTTTTTCTTTAGTTGTATAGACAGTCGGGTTGTGGAAGTATCCATGGGTAACGATGGCTGTCAAGACTGTCCACCTAACACGATTTTTCTTCAGTTGTCTAGACAGTCGAGTTATGGAAATATCCATGGGTAACGATGGCTGTCAAGACTGTCCACCTAACACGATTTTTCTTCAGTTGTCTAGACAGTCGAGTTATGGAAATATCCATGGATAACGATGACTGTCAAGACTGTCCACCTAACACGACATTCACTTCAGATACTTCAAGTCTGGTTCAACTGATTTTTCTTCGGTTGTATAGACAGCCTATTTCGATTTTTGAATCTATACAACAGTCTGAAGTAATTCTATGATCTGTAAATATCAGAATCGGTAAAAGTAATCAGTTACACTTAGATAAATCTTTAGATGCTATAATACATATTTCTTCTATCGTCAAGGTCCGGAAGTTGGCCAATGGTGGTGATTTCTTGGATGTGAAGTAATCTCACACTGCTACCACTTTATTGAAACTAACACAACTAGAGGACTGAAAGATCGTTGTTTTTTACACTGATATTTTACTGGACATCAATGGGTTATATCTGATGTTTTCAGAAATCGGTGTGGACGACTTCAAGGAGACACTGTATGGCAAAGGTACTGCATCCTTGTTGTTCAACGTTTCGCTCATAGTCAACGATTCACCCGTAAACACCTGGAGTGTTATTGTGATATTTGAAGGAAACAGTCTTCCACCAACTATATTTATTGGAGTTGGGCGATTGCCTGTTCATTCTTTAGTGGCAAGTCCCACCCAATGCTAAAGATGTCAATGTTACACACATTACTTCTAGCTGCAGGGAAACCTCTGTTGTTTTAGTTGTAATGGACCACATCAACGTAATGTGCATAATGTGCAACATTTGGGCAGTATCAAAAGCAGCTAGAGGCACGTGGCCTAGAATGTAGTAAGGTTGTTTATAATATCGAGTTAGAGAGAATTGATTGGAGAGAAATCGGGCATTATATTAGGTTACAATTTTCAGAGAAATTAACTTCTATGACAGTAGTTTGAACCAACAGGTAGTTTTGTTGTTGTTTTGTATTCCCTAAGTAAGGTGTACTATATTCGTTTATCGTTATTTTCATTAACGGTATTGGTTAAACTACTTAATATATCTACTGTCATTACTTTTTAATTTAATTCTATTTATATGTCGTGAAATATTATTGGGATTACATCCTCAAATACCGTTAACATGATGCATTCTGATCGTTTGTTTGTTTTTGAATTTCGCGCAAAGCTACACGAGGGCTATCTGCGCTAGCCGTCGCTAATTTAGCAGTGTAAGACTAGAGGGAGGGCAGCTAGTCATCACCACCCACCGCCAACTCTTGGGCTACTCTTTTACCAACGAATAGTGGGATTGACCGTCACTTTATAACGCCCCCACGGTTGAAAGGGCGAGCATGTTTGGTGTGAGAGAGATTCGAACCCGCGACCCTCAGATTGCGAGTCGAATGCCTTAACCACCTGGCCATGCCGGGCCAATTCTGATCGTTAAGTAGAAACGTAAGAAAAGTATATATAATTAGCTATACTGGTGGCCAGTTTGAATTTTAGTTTTGCATTGGTCGGAAGTCAATATTAATCACTAGTACAGAAGCTAGTACGTTCATTTTCGCCCAACCTTCGTTACTGGGCCATCTCACTTATGATCGTGCCCCGTTCTTGATTGGTGTGTTGGCTGTTATTCTAGTGATGCGCTCTAAATCTGCTACTGTGACTGTTTACTGTAACCTTGCTAATCAAGGCTCCCAAACATATTTCTTGCCTTCAGGGGACCTTTGAAAGAAGAGAACGATGATTTCATTAACCTTCCCTTCACAATGGTTGAGATTGTCTTCTCTCTTATTCATCAGAATTCTACTCCTGGAAAGGATTCTGTAAGTTATTATATTCCATTACACCTTGGAGATTTTTACGTAAAATCCTTTTGGCTATACTTAATTATAGTTGTGTTCCTTTCTGGAATCGTCGCAAAATCATTCCTAGAGTCTGTGGTGTAAATAGACCTAGCAACCCGATAAACGCCAAACAATGTATAAAAGCGAAACTAATTGAGATACCAGATGTTCTAGAATAGATTGAACATAGCTTAAAGTGTCGCCAGTTATAATTAATAGAAATATCCTGAAAGAATGTTTTATTATCAAAAAGATATTTTGCAATCATTTTTCGAAATTAAGCTTTTCCTTTCTGGTTCTTTTTTTCCTAATTTTTTGTTTCAATGTTGTATTGTTGAATTAGAAGTGTTGAACTTCAGACGTATTGTTTGTGAAAATCCGGGCCCGTTTCGATTGTTTTTGGTGTGAAAAAAAAAAGGATTCGTTACAAGGTTGTGATTTAAGTTTTACATCAACATCGTATTTTAATCAAAGGCAACTTTGTAAAGTTAATTTCATTTATGTGAATTCCTTAAACTTCAGTATCTTTTTTTTTTCTTTGTTGTTATTAGTATTCTTCTGCCTACCATTTTATAGTCCAGAAACTATTTTATTTGTTTGTAATTAAGCACAAAGTTACAAAATGGGCTGTCTGTGTTCTGCCCACCACGAGTATCAAAACTCGGTTTCTAGCGTTATATATCCGCTAACATGCTACTGTGTGTGTGTAAGCGATATGCAGAGACGAAAGCGTTCGAAAACTCTTTAACCAAAAAGAAAGTCTCAAAACAAACAAACGACTGTGGACTGATAAAATAATAAAGGGGTTTTATTTCAGTTTCAGATGTTGTGAGCTCTTATTACTGGAGTAACACAAAAAATTTTGCTCGATCAGTTATTTAAAGTTTGTTTGTTTGTTGAGAAATATATTCAACTTCCAGAGGTTAAAAGCATTACAATATAAATTTCAGCTTTACTCTGTTTAACATTCCAACGAAACAAGGTAGTTAAAAATACTTTTTCACTCTTATGGACTTTGTGTATTTAATCATACAGTTTGAACCCAAAACATCACACAAATTTAACAAAACTTTATAAGTGTGCTAACGTATATATTATAGCTGAATAAATAACCTAGGATCCAAGCACTTTTGTGGGGATTCTCAGAAAAACTGGACAACTGTTGTAGATTTTTTTTTCTGTCATACTTTGGCTTGCTAGATGTCTGTGTGTTCTAAATTTTGCCTGGTTTGACTTTTATTACATAAATAAAAATAGTTTGACTTCATGTTGAAGTTTATAGCTTTCATTCTTAAACTATTTTATTTCATCTGACAGTTTGTTATTACTCTTTGTATCCTCCTGTGTGGAGAAATAGGGCAATGAATGGTACTAAGTTTTAACGTAACAAAACTTTTTTGGGGGAGGGGGATAGTATTTATAATTAAGCGTGGTACAATAACGAATAATACTCTTCATCCTAAAAACGTATCTTATGTCATGAGTTGACATTGAAAAGATTAATAAGCCAGTTCGGACTTACGAGTTTCTCAATCAGTAGTAATGACTTCCGGTGTATAAGAACCACTCGAGATAAACGCTCGCCCGCGAAAGTGTGAGTATTGTTACTTGCATGTCAAAAAAGTTCACCATCGTAACGTCGCTTGGACTTTTTCGAAGTAATAGTAGGAATACACATCGATTTGATGGGTTGTGATGATTCGCCTCCGGCGAATAACATGTATCATCATGCAACAAAATAGATCCGGTAAATTTCGTAAATGCTACATTTTTTTTAGTCTTTTATCAATAAATCTGTAATCTTGTTTTACCTAATAAAATATATTTTGGTATGAAAACTGAAAATAACCAATGATTTCAAACTTTTAACAAAGTACTCGCCATCTCTAGTACAAAGAACCCTTTGGTAGTTATGTGTATGATGTGAGCAAGACAACCGTCCATATTATATCCTTCTACTAATATCGTGTCAAGTAAAATATTTTAAGTACTACTACTGCTATCTTTTTGGTTATTAAAGCAAATTTGGTGATGTTTATTTCATTTACTGAAGGTAATTTTGCTTGTGTACTTGTTTTAATTCTATTGCTTATAGAAGCTTTAACTTTAGTTTTTCAGTTTCCACTACGTTATTGTTAGTCCCCTGGTTAAGTGTTTGCTTTGAGTTTGACATCTGAGCTCTGAAAACGAGAGTAGTCCAAACATGGTTTCTAATTACATCCGAGTGTTTTGACTAGGTACAACGGTAAAGCCTGAACTACGTTCCAATTGTAGGTTCAAAAGTATCGGCCTATGTACGTAATATTAACACGTACTAATCCTAACAAGTACGTTCTGAGATCTTAGTAGAAGTGAATTCCGTTTGATTACTGGTTGATACTGTTCTTGCCAATACTGTATATAATGTTATTTTTCAGCTTTTATATATAATAAACTCGTTTTATATCATCTAATTAAAAAATATAAAACTTCTATAAACACTATTACATTTGATTTGTTTAAATGAACATTTTATTACAAATTTAGACCAATTTCAGCTTTTCAATTTATTGCCCCCCCCCCTTAAAATTTTCTGCCCTTTCTGGTTTCACTGCCTTTTATAAATGTGGTAGATTGGACTTTCTTCTTTCACATTTACAAAATTAACGCTAGGAGTCAATTATGGTAGGCCTCGTTATATATATTTTTTGCCTCCGACTAAATATTAAAGTTTCTGTCACATCTTCATCTACTTCTGAATTGTTTTTGTTTCCAACCGTAAATGCTATTCATGATGTACCTGTACGATGACAAAGGTGTAATAATACACATCTTTTATTTATAATCTGCTGTGTAAAATAAATGTATCATCTTGGTATAATCTTATGTACTGGTTATGTTGCGCTCATATTGACGTGGATTTGTTTATCACTGAATGCTTTGCAAACCCTTCGTACTTGTGAGATTCTGAACTGACTTATTCCATTATAACCTTCCTACATGATGACGTGTACACATATAAAATAAGATTAGTGTTAAAAGGGATGTATGTAGTGTGAATTGTAATCGGCTAATTACGAAAATTAAAGCAACTCAACACTTAATCCAGAAAGCAATAATTTACAGTCAGGAGTTTAATTTAGACATAAACTCAAGAATCCTGAGAATTGGCTTATAAGTTAGCGTTTTTGGCCTGTCAAGTGGATGTCTTGTGCAAAGTTGGCTTTCAATATAACAGTTGTTGTGCTCAACTTCCTCTTAGGTTATAATCTGCAGATTATCAAACTCCGAAATAATATAGAAAACATAAAAACATGGAACATTAAACCTCGTCAAAATCAAACTTTGCGGAATCTAGCAAGCTTTTGTTTCTTAGAGATGCAAGTTCTTGTTTGTTTTGTTTTTTTTGTTTTTTAAACACGTCTTTCATAATTACAAATTATCGTCTTTGTTTCTTTGTATTTCACACATTTTTCTTCTCGATACCAGTCCTTGGATTGTTTTAAAAATTCACGATAGTTTGTTCTCATCCTCATCTTCACGGAATACGTCATTGGTCTGTTTTGGTTTTTGCATATTTTCTTCTCGACATTATAAAACTTGGTTTGTTTTAATTGACAGCTTATGCTCTATACTCGTTCATGATTGTTTTTTTTATATCTTTCTCTTTCTTTTTTTTTTCTCACAGTACAAATTCTATTGTTTTCTCTTAATCTAATTCTAATGGTTCTTGGTGCATATCCTTGGCTATTATTCATGATATAATTTCCAGTTTTTTCTTTAAAAATCAACAATATTTTATTATTATTTTTTGCACAGGAGGTTTATAACATTAAACAAAATATCGATTTCTAAACTAATAAAATGTAATTTTTGAAACATAAAAGCAAAATAACACTCAAAATATATTCATAAATATACATTTACCCTTAAGCACTAGGAAATTTTGCAGTTAATTACAGCAAAAACAAACTGTAAAATGCTAACCTTACCATCGGGCTCCTGCATATGGTGAGTAAGTTAATAACTAACTACTTTTTTGTGTATTTCCTTATACATAGTTGTAGCTTATCAAGGTTAAAAGTTATATTATCGTCTTTCGAAGAATTCGGATTCCTTAAAAACACGTTCATGTCATTTTCCTTATTGAAAAAAATACATACGACATATTATATATTACATGGGGTAATTTTTTAATCCTCACAACGCCAGGTTTCGTTACAAGTTTACTGTGTTTAGTAACGAGGCCCTATATTAAGCGCATTACGTCTTTGACGAGGTAATGAGTTCGTGAACAAGCTGCTTGTACGTTCTGCAAACAGGAACGTCTGGTCATCTTCCTACCGGCGCCTTTGAAGCTGTGTAGCTTAACAAGCTTATATCTCGGTTTAAGCTATTGCTTTTGTCCGAATTTAACATCATGAGTCTGGCGCATATTGGACCTTTAGCTTGTTCGTTTAAAGCTGAGGCAAACGTGCTCCAAGTCATTCATTCTGAGCGATACTAGCTTACGTCTTGCAGCGTTCACTAAATACGTGGTTTATATCGCACGTAGAATGTCGGCTCAAGGCCTGGATTCGCCTCTTTGTGAATTTTTTACCTAAATATACTTACAGCCGGCATTTTCAAGAGGTGCAACGTCAAGTGTATTTGTATTCTATCACTGTACGTAATTATGCGGAAGGAGAGAAGAATTAATAATAATATATATATATATTTGCAGTGATTTGTTTGAGACCAGCTAATGAATAAATGAAAAAATGTATAATCTTCGTGACGCCTTTCACGAGGATTCACCTTTCATAATAAAAAGCAAAAACATTACTTCTGATCACAGGGTATTTTATAATATATATTTATAATTTAAAAGGCTTAGGTAAAAGGATTTATCCCAAAGAAGAAAAATATAAGCCATAAAACCTGCTATTAACAAATGTAATTTTTCAACAGTTTCCACAAAAGAGACGATAATTTTCAATTTTGAAGCATTCAAATTAATGAATGTGGCGCTGTATACAAGAGAAAAAAGAAACTTTCGCCTTTAAGGTTTCTAACCTTACAATTATCCCATTACACAGAAAAGTCAAGGTTTGTCACTGTGTAGACCATAAGTCTCAATATCAAGTATTCAAATTCAAGTCTTTAGTAAGTTGTAGAACTTATCCACAAAAGCTCCTTAAAATTACTATAATGTATAAATACTTAATCATGTATTATATGCGTGAAGAGATGGTGAACGAAATTTCCATATGAAATATTAAAACGATTTTTGTTAAACGACCTAAATGAAAAAATAATGAAAACTGAACGTTTTTCCTACCTTGCCGTGGATCACGGAAGAGGGTGCCGGCAGAGGTCAAAAGTCCCAGACCCGCGGCAGCTAGCAGCACCGCGGGAAGGGCACGAACCATCGTGGTACAGACTATCGCTTGCTCTTCAGCCTCTCGATGTGTACACGTAATATTTTTAATACAGAGACGTATGGTTCTAGCCTGTACGCTTACCAGTTTCTTCGTACGTACGCTTAAAACCACGTGCTTCTCTAAGGACGCACGAACACAAGTGTAAATCTGCTTTACTCGAGGCTCAAGCCACTAAATACAAGATGTTCCCAGAGCCTAGCGAGCTTGAGAAACTATCCTAGTGAAACTTAATCCACTTTGCTACTGGGTTTATATAAGAGTTACTGTCATAGGAGCTTCTATACTGAAGCTCAATCCAGTTGGCCACTGGGTACAAGAAATATTGTTCCAAAGCGTGTGATTGGCCGAACGAACACTGACCTGCACATTCAAAAGAAATAAGTACCCTTGCATTCTAGTTTCGACGATCATAGACGGTCGTGCCGTCTAAGCACGCTTTGCATTTTTCTGAGCCTTTTTAAATTAGTTATCCCTCTAGCGGTATAACAATGAAACTCAATTATATATAATCGCGATATCAATTTGAGGGAAAGAGAAAAAACAACGACGACGACTAAGAATACTAAGAAGTGGCTACTAGATTCAAATACACTCGTCATAATGCATTCATTGCGAAGACAATAGAAGTAAGTTATATCATAGAGAACACCCACCGCAGCACGTATCCCTATTGCACTCTGTATTTCTTTTGAGCCTTTCACTCAATAAATTTTCGTTACGCATCAAATATCCCCCGGTGGATTAGAAGTGACTTTACAAACTAACAATACAAAAATCCAGCGTTCTATTCCTGCGGTTAACAGAGAGCAAATAATCAATTGTAAAGGTTTGTGCTTAAACAAGATACACGTCATTTATTTTAACTTGCTATTAAAACATGTAAGGAAAATCAACAAGTGATTTGTTTTTCAAATATATATAAATTAAAATAGCTCAAAAATGAAGAACGTTTTGTGTTTCTGTTATTAAGTAGACATTTTTCCCCTTCGCTTAATTTAAGTAAAAACGGCCTTCTTGTATACCGTATGTCAAATAACAATAAATTCATCTTTCAACCTAACGACCTGAATGTATTTGAAAGATTTTCAATGACAGAAAAAATTGAATTTGTTTTATTAATTTTAGGTTCATCTAGTATCATATAATGAAATACAAAAACTAATCAACAAGCGACAGTTGAGTCAGGTGCTGCCATCTTTTAGTCACTATAGACAATTATAGAAATCTCAGCATATTAAAAATGCTTTTAATTGTGTTTTACATCGGCGAGTCATTCTAAAAATGAAATAAGCTTTCAGTTTCCATTATTGTGTGTGTCTTGACCCTAGGGGATCATGAAAGGGCTTCTGGGATTCCTATTTGTACAATAAACAGCAATACATCTTAATTCCATTTGGCAGTTAAGTTACATGCCTTGAATAAATTTATAATTACCTTATTTTAGTATCTGATGTTGTAAGTGGAATATAATGTAGGTTGAAGGGAGAGGGGGTCAAAAAATAAAGATCATCAAAAAACACCGGGATAAAAAAATTGTGCAAACAGTTTATTTAGGAAATAACTTTAATTTTTATAATCTCGAAATAAATTTCGATAAAGTTATTTATAATTTTCCGTGTAAGCTATTCCGTTTTAAATTCATCAAATTTTTTTGTGATGAAGAATTGGAATTTTTAGCTTGCAAGTCGCCGTATGTGCACGTGAGATAAATAGCCAGATGAGAGACTTCTAGGATTTAGGCTTAATCGTCTCTGATTTTGAACTACTAACCAGGGAAGGCAGCCAAACAGTAGCACCCGTCTCCACAGAGGACTCTTCGAACCGAATAATGAGATTGGGTGTCGTTTTTGTAATGTGCTCACAGCTAAGAGCACTGGGTCTGTCTAAAAAGATCACTCTCGAATCCCGTTCTCTCGATGCGCAGCCCGAAACACTAGCCACTCCTGGTTCTTCATGACTCAAGTGAATAATTATCTTATATTCATTCGAATTACGTTATTGTGCATTCAAGTTACTTTCAGTTTGATATTCTAACATTTGTAACATCCAATTATCTTCTTTTACATGACACTTGTAAGAGGATCATCTCCAAAATAGACAAACATTGATTATCGGCATTTTTAGTGTAGGTAACAAAAAACAAGTGCTTGCATCATATAAAATCATTCGTGCGTACGTATTTTAATTAGGTGTGGAGTTTGGAGACTGCTGTTCTTTTTTTAAGCTATCAGAGACATCTGTGAACCTACAACAATCAAAATTACTATATGTTAGCGCTTGTAATGTATACAAATGACTATTGTGTACGAGTATTTAATGACAACAATGACCTGAAAAACTGTCTTTGTTTCAAGTGCTAAGGTGAATCCAAGACACCTTTATTATAACTCTGTATTGTGCAGTTGGTCAGCTAAAAGAACTATTTTGTTTGTTTTTGAATTTCGCGCAAACCTACACGAGGGCTATCTGCGCTAGCCGTCCCTAATTTAGCAGTGTAAGACTAGAGGAAAGCCAGCTAGTCATCACTACCCACCGTCAACTCTTGGGCTATTCTTTTACAAACGAATAGTGGGATTGACCGTCTCATTATAACGCCCCCACGGCTGAAATGGCGATCATGTTTGGTAGGACGGGGGTTCGAACCCGCGTCCCGCAGATTGCGAGTCATGCACCCTAACCACCTGGCCATGCCTGGCCAAAAGCAGCATTAGTCTCGTATCTCAGATCCAGAGACCAATACCCTAACAAAAAGAAGAAACATAAAGCTACAATCAGAAGAAAGTCGAACAGCAAATAAAAATGACGAAGATTATAACACAGAAAAATGGACTATAATAAACAAAAGAATAAAAATCAGCACATCTAAGTAAGTCACCACACAAACCTGACTCCTGTGAAATTAACACCGTGAATAATTTCAACAAAATACCCAATAATTTATTTTGCTTGTTGATCTATAACCACAAATCTAGCTTTTCATTTGGATTGACGGATTTTGTAACAAGAATATCTAAAACTATGAATGGTGTGCTTAGACTATGGCAAACACTAATAATTGACATGAGAAGTTACCTGCTCCACAGATCCCTTCTTAGTTTGAATGTTTCATTCATATGCACCTTTTATACAACATTTATATTTAAAACAAAATGTCAACCGATTAATTTCCATATCTTTGACCCTCTTTCCTCATCTTTATTTTATAGGAATTGACTAACTTTACGTCGTAAGCGTCGACTAATGTTTCTGAATAAATGTATTTGCATATCTGCCCTTAACACGACAAATCGGAAGTTTGTCAAGACTAGATGAAAATGATACACCCTTTTTACATCAAACTATTAAAAAAGAATAACAGTCTTTGCAATGGTTTAATGATCTTTCCCTCCTTTTTTATTACGCCAATTAAAACTGAGCATACGCCTCAGGACTCAGGATATTTTCAAGCATGCGCAGTTGATTAACTCATTAAGTCTTCAATTTTTTTTTATCCCCTTCTATTAAATGAAAAGATAAACTTCGTTGGCATGGCTGATAGGTTTAACACACGCAACAATAGAATTGAGACTATAGTCAAGTTAAATATGAAAGTATAGTATATATATATATTCGAATACTTCATCAACTATATATATAAATATATATCCCCGTTGGCACAACGATATGTTTGAGGGGTTAAAACGCTAAAATTTGAGGTATAATTCCCGCGGTTGACACAGCGTAGATAGCCAATTGTGTAGTTTTGCTCTCAAAACAAATAAACAAAATCAATTAAATTTTGATAAGTCTAAATTTTATCTTTTCCAGACGACGCCTAATAGCGTTTTTATTTCCTTTATAAATAAAATGTCAGCATGTTCGTGATCTGTAAACATGAAGCATGTTTTTCTGTACAACCTGAACCAGCGTTACTTTGACGAGAACAAATAAAATGTTTGTACATTAACATGCTGTTATACATTATTGTGTTATAAAATGTTTTAGGCTTCCCGGTAACTCAGCGGCAAGTCTCACAGAGGTGGGCAGAGCACAGTTAGCCCTTGTGTAGCTTTGTTCTTAATAACAAAGAAGCAGACAATAAATGTTTTTGATAGCAAGTTTCAAACAAAAGTGTGCAATTAATAGTATTTATAACTTGAAAGGAACCGTATTCGACTCATGGACTAAATGGCTAGGACAAAACCCGCAAGGTTTAGGGATAACAGGCCCTAATTTAGAGCTACTTGCCAGAGGGACGGCAGCCAGTCAACAGCATCTACCGCCCAAACGGCTACTCTTAATCGAATAACGAGAATGATTGTTACAGTTATAACACCCTGAATATCACAGGGCCGATCATTGGGTCTTCTAACCGCTAGGCCCGGCACGCGCAGTTTTTACAATGACAAAGAACATAAGCTTTGCTTAAATATGCTTGTGGGTTATCACTTATGTTTACGTATACTAAATTATTAGGCCTGGCACGGCCTGATGGTTAAAGCGCTGTACTCAATATCTGCGGGTAGCGGGTTCCAATTCCGTCACCGAACGAGCTCCTCCTTTCAACAGTGGGGATCAATCTCACTTTTCGTTGGTAAAGAATAGCCACAAAATTGGCAGTTGGTGGTGATGACTATAGCTGCCTTTTCTATAGCCTTTCACTTCTAGATTAGTGACGGCTAGCGCTGATAGACCTTGAGTGGCTTTGCACGAAACTCAACAAACGACAAATAAATTATTTTTACTTTTAAATTAAGATTATATGCATATCTGCATCTTTAACAGTTTCATAGTTTCAAGCATATTGTCATTTTGCTAATTTCAGTTTCACTGATTTTGAATTAAAAACAGTATGGAAATAAATAAGGTTAGGAAGCCACAAACTGATTCAGTATAGAATATTTCAGCTATAACAACAATATACATTATCTTTGCCTCATAAGCTTCCGATTGTAGGAACGCTGTTGTTTCCCAGGCTCTCTTTTTACATCGTTTTCTGGATAAATATGGTCTCAAAATGTTTCAATGATAATTAATTCCTAGTGGTGGAAGCTTACTGTAACTATATATCAACAACTCAAAATTCCTGCGATTAAAACGTCAAAACTACACCGAAATCTGTATGTTACTTAAAATTATAACGATAAATCTCCTGATGGGACAGCGATAAGTCTTACAACGCTAGCATCCGGGACTCGATTCTCCGAGGTGGACACAGCAGCTAGCCCAATGTGGCTTTGCTTTAGAATAAACAAACATAATGATAAAACTATCCCATATCCTGCATATCGCCTTCAATCACAGGACAAAACTACTCCCATATCCTGCATATCGCCTTCAATCACGAGGACAAAACTACTCCCATATCCTGCATATCGCCTTCAATCACGAGGACAAAACTACTCCCATATCCTGCATATCGCCTTCAATCACAAGGACAAAACTACTCCCATATCCTGCATATCGCCTTCAATCACAAGGACAAAACTACTCCCATATCCTGCATATCGCCTTCAATTACAAAAACAAAAATATAACATTATATCCTGCACATCCTTTTCATTCACAAGGATAAAACTATAACCATATCCTACATATTCCATTCAGTCACAAGAATAAATGTGCAGCCATATTCTGGATATCTCTTGCAATCAGGACTGACATGTTAGTTAGGGCAGTCTAAACGCAATTTACGGATCGTGGAATCGAAACTTGTCGCATAATATGCTCGCCCTTTCTGTCGTGGGGATGTTATAATGTGGAATTCAATCCCACCATTCGTTGGTGAAGAGTAACTCAAGAGTTGGCGGTAGGTAGCGTTAACTAGCTACCTTCCCTGTAGTATATCACTTCAAAATATAGGATGGCCAGCTCAGATAGCCCTCGTGTTGCTTTGCGAAACAAGTAAACAAAATATTTCAATAAGATGTCTTCTTTTAAGAAAGCCCCCTCCGGTGGCTCACCAGTAAGTCTGCTGGCTAAGATAATCCATTATTAAAGAAAATTATTAAAATAGGCTTTCATTCTGAATTCTAGAGTATATATAAAACAAAGAAACAAAAATATGAAAACAATGACTCAAACGTCTCCTGTCTCGTATAATATGCAGGATCTTCTTATGACTGAATTAATTGCGCTACAATTGCGAGAACATCCGTTGAAGACTGGGCTAAGTTTCCATTTTCGCCCTTACATTAAACGAAAATAGCATGTTAATGATTTCCTAACTCGAAAATTCTTCTGTGTAAAAGTGTGCGTACGTTTCCATGAATACTACAATTTTACAGCTGGATAATATGAAGTGCAAAATTCAGCTTTTTCTTACCATACACTGTCGTGTTCAGGGTGTCATGAAACAACACCCGCCGAGTTTGTTAACAGATGGTGCCAATTTTTTTTATAGCAAAACTGGACTGTTAGATACTGTAGGCTGACTGCTGTAGTTAATTATACATAATTTTCTATAACTACTTCAATTTCACGTGGCAGAATCAAGGTCACTGAAAAATGATTACACACACACACATATATATGTACAAAACGTTTATATGCGTCGTTGGTTTTAAAGGTGATCGCCGTGTACAATATTTAACCGGAAAGTATTTGTAATTCCTCAAGTATGTCAGATGACTCAGGCAACATTGTCAGTAGTGTTTGATCAAACGGCAAGGACAAGCTTAGCAACAGTTTTGTCAAAGATTATGTCTGCGCTTTACACTAAATATCCAACGAAACTAGCTGATCTTAGAAACAGATTTTACGTTAAAGAAATGTTATATCTTTACAGTAATAATAAATACCCAAAAACAATTGTTTCGCTCTTTTTATTTTGTAAATAATAGATAACGCATGTTGGTTTAACTTGTTTAAAAAATTGTTACTTAAATACATTTTATCAAACGTTATAAAATACATTTTTATTTATCTTTGAGTTTTGTTGCATAATTTCACGGTTTACTTTGTCACATACGTTTGTATTGATACGTCTGAATATTTCATGACAATTTTTATTTTTGAAAATTATTAAAAAATATAAGTTAATCCTTTTGTGATAAACATGGTTGAATACAAAAGTATTGTTAATGTAGTTTCTAAAACATAAATAAGATTATCAATAAACACCAATAAAATATTTTCTTCTAGTTCCGATTTTTGACACTTGGCCGTAGTCTACTTCATTAACATTGTGAAGGATTATAGGTGATAAAATGTAGAATTGGCTTACCATAAATCTTCAAAATTCAGACAGATTGGACTGTAATTTTGGGCATTTAGCTTGATTTGGTGTCAATGTAATGTATTTCAATAATTCATAACAAATCGACCATGCATATATATATATTTAATATAAGTTTAACATAACAGCAAATGTACAACGTTTCGACAAGGTTTTGTACCTGATGATGACAAAACCTTGTCGAAACGTTGTACATTTGTTGTTATGTTAAACTTATATTAAAGTTTTTCTTCATTACCCATTCAAGCCGTCTCCAACCATTATTAGTCTCAAAGTGGGTTCCTCGCCATCGAAAGTGTTTTGTATTGTTCATTACTCTCAAGTACCATATGTTTCCTTACAAAAAAAAAGAATAACTTTGTGAAAAAAGTTTTATTATACAAGAGAGCTGAGATTTTCTGTTTTCATTTGTTAACTAGTTTGTATAAATTAAACATAAAGATTTGTTTAGTTTTTAATGGTACTCAAGCCTGTAATGTGTTATTTAACATACATTTTTAAGAGATAACTCATTGAAATCTGTTTTAAAAGAAATGTGATAATCCAGATGTTTTAATTATATTGTTTCTCCTTTACTTTTTTGTGAAAAAAAGATATTTTGTCCATACACATGTAGGTTTTAGAGTCAGTGTGGAGTGTAGTGATTGGTAATCTTAGCCTAGCCTTTAGTAGCTTGACTGCAATCTTGTCCCTAGTGTTTGGAGGAGGAACAGCTGTCTTTAATTTCTTTCTGGATTTTGTAAGTTTGAGTTATTATCAACAGTTTGTTTCATTATGGCATTAGTCATAGAGAGTTACATAGAAAATACATCTAGTAAAGTTAAAGTTTAAAATTCAAACAATACTCGAAAGTTATCGTAAAACAAAGAAGAAAAGTTTTGGTGCTTCGTTTTTGCCAAAACACTGTTTCCTAAAATATGTTGTGCACTAAATTAGCAAAGATATTTAATTATATTTTTGTGCCTATTTTACATTTAAAAAGTAATCAAATTCTGGATGTTTGAAAATTAATAATATGTAATTTTAAGTATAAGTGAGTGAACCAGACATTTTCAAGGTAGAGCCAAGCTGGGCTAATGGTTTAGGTGAGTTGACTAAAAAAAAAAACACGTTAATAAAAATTACTACGTAGACTTGAACACATTTTGGAATGAAAATCGAATTTTTCAACCTTTTTCTGTATTGTAACTAAAATTATATATCTCAAATTAAATGTTAAGTACTGTATTAAAATTAAAAATTACCAATTATTTATAAAAACTATCAAAAAGGTTTTTTCAACTTTAATTATGAAAAACAAAAATTATTTTTTATTAAAAGTAACTGTGGATCTAAATTTGTTAGTGATTTATTGTTAAATGTTTTTATGATTAGACTGTTTTGGAAATTTTGTATTATTAGTAGGAGAAGTATTTGTATATGATCTGGTAATAAATGACAATGAAAGCTTTGAGCATTTCAGTATTGGAACAGTTTTTTTTTCTTGTTTTAGGCAGCATGTGATCTAGTGGTTAGCATACTGGGCTGCAAATTGTAAGATCCAGAGATTGAACCTCCAATATGTCATTGAATTAACAGCTTTATTTTCATCTCTGAATGCATTATAAAAGTGACAGTCAGTCCTGCTATTCACTTATGAGTAGTCATGTAGGTATCAGGTGCTACTGACTGGTTTCCCTCCCTCTGGTCAGCAGTTTGAAATTATACTTTAACTGTAGTCTCTAACCTGACCATCTAACCCACTAAATATTGTCATTTATTAGTGGTTTGTGTTAAATATGAACATTTCTCCTACCAAACCTTACATAATAACATGTATAATTTTGTTAATTGAAAGCCATGAATTACATGTGATTTGATGGTATAGATAATACCCTTTTGAAATGTAACAATCAATGTGCAGTATATCTGATAAAAAAAAGATATCAGTGTGTAGTGTATCTGATTTTAAAATATCAATGTGCAGTGTATCTGATATAAAAAAAAATCAGTGTGCAGTGTGTCTGATAAAAAAAAAGATATCAATATGCAGTGTATCTGATTAAGAAAAGGGTTTTCATCTAAGATTAATATAAAAACTACAGAATTTTCTGTTCCAATCCTTCCATTTTTTAGATTGTGTTCTCGACAGCTTTGTTTTACTTGCTGTGTGCAAGTGGTACTCTTTACAAGCCTGTAGAAGTGGTTAGCATGATACTGCCATCTGGTGGAGCAGGTAATAAAGTAGGAGAAGTGGTGGAACAATCAATCAATGGTGTGTTTGCTGCCTCCTTCAAGATGGCTGCATTCTATGGCCTGTATACTTGGTTAATACACACCATTTTTGATGTCAATATAATTTATATTCCTTCTGGTAAGCAGTAAATGTTAACTTTTCTTAGTTATGAATAGATATATAACTATCAGCAGTGTTGTTCCTAGGTTTTACAGTTTAAGGGACCCATGCCTTCTTGTATCAAAATTAACATGTTATTATTTCAATTCTACAAAACCTAATTTTCCAAAGCAAACTCTTCAGTAATCTACAAGGATGTGGCACAAGGAAATATACAAATAATCTTACACATGGTCGTGTTTAGTGTGGCTGGTGCCTCAGTTGCTTGCCATGGAGGGTAAGTTTGTTGATGCAATAGACAAATTTGTAGCCTTGTTTTGGATCTGGTAGAATACCATGCTAGTGGTCCTCTGATTGACCAAACATTAAATGCATGTCGTCACGATCATGACATAAAACATATGTGTCAGAAAGACTTGTTAAGTAGAATATAAAGATACTCATGGTAATTTGCATTTTGACCTAGAGCCACAAAAAACACCTTTTAACTCATATTTTTGCTTTCCCCCACCATGACTTTCTCAAAACATTATTGTCCTCATTTATATTTTGAGAAGATCGGTGTCTTCATGCAAAATTTAAAGTTATTTTGTTTGAAATTGTGAAATTAGTTCAGAACATAAGTAAATTTAGATACATAGGTACATTTAAGAATTACTACTCAGACAAGGAATGAAGAATAAGCACTTAAAAATAACCTCATTTTTTGCTGAATATATCTGCAGAAAAATGGTTTAATGAAAAATAACATTTCAAACATACTAGTTAACTTTAACAGACAATTTGATAAGAAATGTTTTCTGAGTATGGAGAGAACACTTGTACAATGAAATCATTTATGTTTAGTATTAAACGTTTCTAATTTTACAGCTCCATAATTTAAATGTATATATATTTTTGAGATTTATTTTATTTAGTATTTAAATATGTGTTAACTCTTAAGTTACGAATTGACTTTTTAATACATTTTTTCTTATCTCTTTATACACTAAGTTACTTGTGAGCCTTTGACTTTATTGGTAACAGGTGCATAATAACAGTATATGAGTCACAAAAAATTTAGTAGAAACATCATTAGTACTGCAGTTAAATTCACTAGTTCTTTTGTCTCTCTTGTATTTTATGTAAGAAAAATGTTTCATGTTCAGTGTTGCAACAATGTAAAATTTCTCACTGTGATAAGAGAACTCAGTAATTATAAAGTTATATACAGAGTTTGAGCAGTTGTTTTACTAGATCATAGATGGCAGTAGTTGGTCAATTCAGTACATAGAAATGTTTTGTCAACTAATGCTGGTAACCACATAAAATCATTATAGTAGTGATAAAAAAAAATTGAAAGCAGATACACAGGAAAATAACAATCTAGGATGAAATTTTGTAACAAAAGCTTTTTCTTAAAATAATTGTAAAGTTTAAATCCTTGTTTTCTTCCTTTCTTCCAAGTTTTAGCTGCCATATTTGGTGCTGTCCCATTTCTCGGTGCTTACTGGGCTTGTCTGCCTGCAGTGTTAGAATTGTGGTTAGTTAATGGACAAGTCTTCCGAGCAGGTCTTATGTTTCTTGGCCAGCTTGTACCTTCATCTTTTGTCGACAGTACTATTTACAGTGAAATTAAGGGGTGTGTACTGAACCTTGTCCTAGGTTTTGCATTTTTTGTGATTATTTGTATAAAGATGTGTGTCGCTAGAGAACCAGTTGTTTCAAAAGTAATAATCGAATTACATGAAAAAAATAACATTATGCACCTAACAATAAACATCATAATCTGGTTTTTGCGTAACTTACAAGTTCACTGATACAAATTCTACTTTAACTTTATAAAAACTCATTAATTACCTGTGCAAATTCACAGTAAACAATTACTTTGTTTTGAACAACCATTTATATGTTTTTTTAATCAGTTTTCAAGTAAAAATTTGGACCTAATCCTAAGAGCCCCCAAACCTCTTTAACCCATACTTTGTAACTCAATTTTGAAAATATCCAATATCTGAATCTACATTGTTTTGAATGGGTTCTTGCGTATACATATCAACGTCAATTTTCAAGTCAATTGTTTAATTTTAACCTGTACGCTTCCCCAAAACGTTTTGACATCCTACTTTAACATTGTTTTCAATATTCTGTGGGAGGTTAAGAGCCAACACTCGAAATTTCAAGTTGCATTATCCAAAATTGTTGGAAGAGTTAAAAAATTATATATATATATATACACACAATTGTTAATTACTCTATAGATTATGTAGTTTCTGCCCAAATCCTCTCCATAGTTATTACCAAACAGTATTTTTAGACCATTGATGAAATACATTTATGAGTTTAGTTCTGATGCTAAAATTTGCTGTCAGTTTGGAAAACAATGTACTCTTTTTTTTTTTCTAATAACTGTATAGATATTCTTTGTCTTTTGGATGTCACTACTTTTTTCCTATGTTCAACAAATCTCGGTAGCATTATTTCAGTTCTTTCTGTGATGTTTAATTTGAAACTAACCACTTTATTACTGCATTTGAAATTTTATCTTAACATCAGTATTATATAGATGACTGACACTTGAGAATAGCTTTTGTGTTCACATTTTCTGATAGCAGAAACCTGAAAGAATAATCACTGGAAATGCTTCATTAGAGAGAAAGTAGTTTTAAATAGTGATACCTTTATCAAATTTTCAAGAATTGTCATGTGCTAACAAAAAATAGATTCAAACATACTGTTGGTGTGAACGTGCTTTGTAGTCACTATGGGAAAAACCTATACACTGGTTAGGTGAAGTGAATCAAAAGTGTCATTGGCCACTATTACATTATATAGGTGCACAGTAGCAGATATAATAAATAAACTTGTAGTAAAATAAAACTATGATAAAATGTCCAAATATTGTACACCTTGATACTTTTAATGCACTGTATGAAATTAAAAGAGTATTATATGCTGTATGTAACTTAACCCCATATGTTCAGGTAGGAGTCAAAGTGCTCACGTCATGTATTTTACATTTTTTTTTATATTCATTTCGAAATATGAAGCTGTAAGATGAAAAACAAAATTTTATTCTTAACATGAAAATCACCTTGCATGCAGACTAGTCAGACTGACTAAAGTGAATTCAGAGACAAATCAGTAGTAAAAATACTTTGTTTAAAATTTTGTTTTTTTGGTGTACAACATACTTGTAATGTTTACTAACAGCTTACCAAAGTTTATGAAGATACATCAAGTAAACTTGAAATTATAGAATTTATAGTAAATATTAATTCTCCAATACAGACTTGACCACATGCACATTAAGGTTAAAGGTGTGAAATTTTATTTTTCAAAACTAAAATAATTATGGATCATTTTTACACATAGAAGGAAGATGTTCAACATTTTAAACAATTTAACTCAATATGTATTGATGTTGGTAATAGCATGAAAACTGTACAAGATCTGTAAGTTTCAACAGCTGTTCAACATATTAAACAATTTAACTCAATATGTATTGATGTTGGTAATACAATGAAAAATTGTACACGATCTGTAAGTTTCAACAGCTGTTCAACATATTAAACAATTTAACTCAGTATGTATTGATATTGGTAATACAATGAAAAATTGTACATGATCTGTAAGTTTCAACAGCTGTTCAACATATTAAACAATTTAACTCAATATGTATTGATGTTGGTAATAACATGAAAACTGTACAAGATCTGTAAGTTTCAACAGCTGTTCAACATATTAAACAATTTAACTCTATGTATTGATGTTGGTAATACAATGAAAAATTGTACACGATCTGTAAGTTTCAACAGACCCAGAACATTTCTCATTTGAACCATAAGGCTTATTTTAATAATTCTCTTACTGTTTCATGATTTCCCAATTACTTTTATATGTTTAATGTTATCAGCCCCCCAGTCAAGTGTCTGTAATTTATACCATCATACAATGTGACAGTCAATCCCACTATTCATTGGTAAAAAAGCAACCCAAGAGTTGGTGGTGGGTGATGTTGACTAGCTACCTTCTCATTTCAAAATTAGTAGTGATTAGTACAGGCAGCCTTCGAGTAGCTTTGCATGAAGTTCAACAAACAAACAATTTCTCATGAAACAGGAAATGAATTATGAAAATAAAGTCATAATGACCATTTGATTAGTAAAAATGGACTTAATTACATTAGAACATGAACAATAATTTGAAATAACTTGAACATATATTCATATTCTTTCTGTTCTGTTTGGTTATAATGAGGTATCTGTTTAAAATTCTTGAACATTAGTTGCATGTAGTATTAAGTATTAAGAACTCAGTAATTAACTTATCATAAGTAGACACAAGTTACTTAACCATACAAGAAATGCATAATGAACTAATTTTAATCCTAGCTACCTACCCTATTTTTATTGCATGTTATGCTCATACATTTTGAATGCAGAACTGGAATTCGATTTCTTCAGATTCTGCCTTTAAAATCTTATTTTCCTTAAGTTAAAATAACTGTTCTGAATAAACCAAGGTATCAAATCCTTAGTCAGTCTTTGTTAGTTTTTTTATATAATGCAATCTGAATCAAAACTTTAGAATTGATTATAGTAATTATTGTTGTTTCTCTGTATTCACTATTGAATAAATATTTACCATAACCTTTGTCTTTACAGTGGTGGCCACCCATATCTCACAGGTTTGGCTATAGCAGGAGGAGTGTTCTGCTTGGGATTTCGAGGTGCTTTGTTCGGTCCAATGCTCCTCTGTCTCCTAATGGTTGCTATCAACATGTATAGTTCAATGATGCAAGACACTTCTAGTGCTAGGCTAGTTCGAGGACATAATACTCTGCTTAAACGGTAAAGAAGTAATGAGTTTGCTATTTTTGTGTTGGTTGGTGTGAAACTAAAACAAGTGATATTCTGTATGGATTTTTTAGTTGAAATGATAAAGTATGATTATGTTTTAGGCATGATTATGTTATAGGCACAATCTTGTTATAGGCATGATCTTGTTTTAGGCATGATCTTGTTATAGGGATGATTTTGTTTTAGGCATGATCTTGTTATAGGGATGATTTTGTTTTAGGCATGATCTTGTTATAGGGATGATTTTGTTTTAGGCATGATTTTGTTTTAGGCATGATTTTGTTTTAGGCATGATCTTGTTTTAGGCATGATCTTGTTTTAGGCATGATCTTGTTTTAGGCATGATCTTGTTATAGGGATGATTATGTTTTAGGCATGATCTTGTTATAGGGATGATCTTGTTATAGGGATGATTTTGTTTTAGGCATGATCTTGTTTTAGGCATGATCTTGTTTTAGGCATGATCTTGTTTTAGGCATGATCTTGTTGTAGGGATGATTTTGTTTTAGGCATGATCTTGTTATAGGGATGATTTTGGTATTTTTCTATATTTACATCATTATAAATATGCAAGAAATTTTTAATAATTTTTTCAATGAAATTATTCATTTTAGATAAATAGCATTTTCTATATTAAATGTTATTCTTTTTCTACATGTATAAATTTTTTATTTTTCACAGTCTGAGCATGATTGAATAGCATCTGAAAGCATGACAGAAACAAATGTTACTTTTAACCTGAATAGTTGCATGTGAGTAAGTCTAATTTCATTCATGAACAGAAATATCTGCTAAGAATTAACAATACGAGAAGTGATAGCAATGTTGCTGCTATTGTTTTTGTTTTATATTGTCAGGAATGGTGATTATATATTATAAACTGCATCAGAACCTCTATCTTGAAATAGTGTTACTGTGTTTCAAAATCTACCATAGCCTGTGCCTCTCACACTATATGTAAGATCTGCAGGTTAATTTTTTAGAGATACCTTCAATTTCAAATATACACTACACCAACTAAATTCTAAAGCCTTAATGGCTAGTTTTGATGTCGTGTCACTCTTCAATGAATCCCCCACCAATAAAGCTTGCAATAGTGCATTCGACCTCTACGTCAATGACCCCAAGAAGTTAATCTACATCCCCAGCACACTTTTTGCTTCTCTCTTAGAATTTACAACAGCTAAAACCAACTTCATTTTCAACAATGAACATTTCCTTCAAATAGATGGTTTAAGTATGGGCAATCCTGTTTCACCCATACTTGCCAATATATTCCTAACCCAGATCAAAACACAAGTCATACATTTTGCGCTTCATCACCCACTATACTGGTACAGATATGTGGATGACACTTTTGCTGGTTTCACTTCTACAGAACACACACTAACTTTCTTTGAACACATAAGCTCCATTCAGCCCAACATCAAATTTACCACAGAACACAAAAACAATAGACAGTTATTTTTTCTTAACCTCGACATTATTAGATTTGGACATACAGTTTAAAACCAAAATTCACCATAAGAACACACACACCAGCCTCTACGTCCCCTGGAATCACACTTATGACACCACACAAAAAAATCACTACACTGAAAAACCTCATAAACACAGCCACAAGACTCTGTTCAACAGACTATATAGATGAAGAAATTAACCACATAAAGCATTCCTTTATTTACACCAATAAATTCCCACCAGCTATTGTTGAAAACTTTCCAACATTTACCAACACAAAACTCAAATCGTGAACAAAGTTGATACTAACAAACCCAACAACAGAACATTATACTGCAGTTTACCTATTGTCCCTAAAACCAGCTCAAGAATTAATCACACTTGGATAAAACTAGCCAGTAAACACACAACTCCTGTCAACATCAAATTCTCTCAAAAACCCGGCCCTAAATAAAAATTGTTACTAAATAAAAATTATTTAGAATTTACAAAATAACATGGAATAACTGCCCAGAATTCTACGTTGGAGGAACAGGAAGAAAATTGGAAACCAGATTCACAGAACACAATAAAAAAAACCATCCCATGTTTTCCACCATTGCAACTCAAAAAACCATAGTATATCTATTAAAAACACAGTAATTTTAAAAAAAGAACCCAACATAAACAAATGAAAG